AAGGCAGTTGATATTGCATTAGGTTCAAGCAATCACTACTCGGAGTGGTTTTCAGTTGCCAAATATCATTGCAAAGAGGAAAGAGCCGGAAAGCATTCAGGTACCTATTAAGGACGAGGAAAAATTGGAGTTGTCTGAAGAATCAACAAAGAAGGATCAATTAAAGCTTTCAGATAGTCCACAGGTTGAGGCTTCCGTTCCTATCAATGCACTTGCACACCCAATCCCAATTCCTCAAAGGTTGAGGCACACCAATCTAGATAAACAATTCATGAATTCCTAAAGGTCCTCAACAAGCTGCATGTCAACATCCCATTCATTGACACTATTTCAAATCCCAAACTACACTAAGTTTTTCAAGGAGACGTTAACTAAAAAGAGGAAATTGCCTGAGCATAAAACCATAGCACTATCTGAAGAGTGCATCGCGATCATCTAGCGTAGAATCCCTCCCAAACTTAAAGATCCAGGGAGTTTCATTCTACCTTGCCTCACAGAAAACTTACAAGGTATTAATTGTTTAATTGATTCGGGGCAAGTATTAACTTAATTCATTTGCATCTTTACAAGAAATTGGGATTGGGAGATCCTAAGGTGGCATCTATTATCCTTCATCTGGCGGACTAATCAATGAAACACCCCTACGGAATAGTCGAACACATGCTCATCAAGGTAGGAGAGTTCATTTTTCCAGCCGACTTCATCATCCTGGACATAGAAGAGGCATATCAAATGCCAATAATCCTGGGAAGGTCATTCCTGTCTAAAAGTCAAGCTTTACTGGATTTTGATATTAATGAGATAGTTTTAAGGGTGGAGGATAAGCAGTAAATCTTCACCGTGGAGAATTCAATCAAGCAACCCTTCTACTTTGAAGATTGCCAACGAGTAGATCATTGGGAGAGCTACAAAGGTAGATCAGATGCAGGATGAATTATTGGAAGGGACAATAATAAAAATATGATTGTTTGGAGACTCAAGGATAAACCGAAGAAGTGCAATGACCGCATCAAGTGTAAGGCTTAGAACTCTATTTTCAAACTACCATGAAGAGTCTAGAAACAACTTGAGTCAAGTTAAGGATTTTAAAACAAAGCGCTTATTGAGAGGCAATCTAGTCTTTTTTTCCTTTTTATTTATTATGCTTTCTAGCCATATGATAATTTAGATTAATTATTAGTTTAAGTTATGGAATCATCCTCCTCCTCTCGTTTCCCCTTAGGTCTTTTAGACATTTGTTGGTTTACTAGATGTTTGGGCTAAGTAACACTCGTTCCAGGTTTTTGAGCCTTAATGCATTGTTTGACCACTTTGTACAGGAACATGATGTCGCGGAACATTTAAACCAATATTCACCAAGGAGACAACAGGAGCAAGATGACAAGCTAGCCATTGGATTTCACACTATATCTGTGAAATATTTTCTTCATTTTCCTCCCTGCCCCTTTATATGTGGACGTATGATTTTTGATATTGAGGACAATAGTTAATTTAAGTTTGAGAGTTTTCTCTTGTTGTGTTTGTTTTATTGTTTTAGATATTAGAAAAATACAAAAAAAATTGAAAAATTGCAAAAATATTTTGCATGTGTGTTTGCGTAAGTTAGTAAGCTTGACTGGTAATGAGAAATATATTGAATTATGAATTGAT